ATTGGCTTGTTTTACAACGTCTTTGCCAAGCGACGAAAACCCAGTCCCGATGGCAAACACCGGGGGGGGGCGGCTTGTTTTACAACGTCGTTGGTAAGCGACGGAAACCCAACCCCGATGGCAAACACCGGGGGGGGGCGGAGGGGGGGCGGGTGGAATCGGGGCTGCGAAGATAATATGGGTAAAAATCGCGAGGAGAAATTGGGAGGAAGGTGGACCAGAGGTCGCGGTACGAGCACTACTACTGCTGTTGTGCTGCCTGTTACGAAATAAATTTGAGTAGTATGAACAACAAGAACATCAACAACAACTAGAACAAAACGAGGAGTCCCGATACCGACGAAGATCGATACCATGTACAACACAGTAGACTCCGCGTCTTGCGTGTTGTGCGACAACACCATTTCATTCAGATTTATGCAATCGTGACTCCCGCCTTCATGCAACACACTGTGTTCTCGCTCAAAAGTCTACGTTGAATTCCAATACCATCGCCAACTGTGTACAGGTATTTGACGTACCCGGGACTTCAGGGCCTCGTGGTAGGTGCCAGCCTCGATCAGGATCGTGGTGCCAGGGGAGGCAGCGTCGAGGGCAGCCTGTTTTTCATGAAGGTATCACGTACAAGGGATAGGCAAGAGGAAAAACAGGAGAAAAAAAAGAAAACGAAGGGAGTCGGTTAAGAGACGCATATCTTTTTTTTTTCTTGTTCGAGCGAGAAGGTTGGTTGAAAACGGTCAAAGCTTTCATGTTTCTCCATATTCGAGCCGCTGGCTCCACAAAAAGTGGAATATTTACCCACAGGGAAGGCACTGCACATACTGTATTGTTTGACCGCCTGTGTCTTGTGCATGGATACGTGTGGATACAAGGATTCAACGCCGTCGGACGACGACATTTCTGCTTTATCTCTTTACAGTGGTAGGAAGAAGGCGCGGCAAGCAGTGTATATATAAATTATATATTCTGAACCGGATCAAACGACGCCAGCCCAGCAATGGCGTCCAGGACAAAGCAGCGTTGTCATCAACCACATCTCGTTTTGTGCAATCAACAGTTGTTGTGAAGTGTAGGCTGGACACTAGACACGACTACTGTTGTGGACACCAGCAGAACAAGCACGCCAGAGACGAAAAATCAAAAACAGAAATAAAGGGAGGAAACATCGAGGCGGGAGATCATTCCTGCAGAAATGAATCGGCAAGATGTGGAGCTGAGAAACCCATCCGAAACAGCTGTTGCTGCTCTCTTTACCACAAAAGTCAGATGATAGATCAAACTTCCCACACGAAGCAAACGCCAGGAAGCTATCTCGTGTACTGGTACAGATCACTGTCGAGAGGGCGGGAATTGCGTGTAGCTTCTCAACGGAGGATGAAAATGATGGCATGTTGCAGCAATATTTTTTGTATGCGCTGGCGTATGGAAGAAGGTTCGCCGTCTGTTGAATAAGGGGCACGCGCAAGATCACTCCTGCCATGGTGCAGCTGCTGTTTGTAGTTCCGAGCTGCTGTTTGTAGTTCCGATCTCAGTTTATGCATACATACACGCGGGCGCTACACCCCCGGCGCGAGGGGACGACAGTCGTAATGCGCGCTGCGGTGGTGTGGGACGTTCGAGCGCACTTGGCACGCGGCGGGCGCTTGCGTGTGAAAGAAGGCAGGAAGAACAAAGGCAAAATGGGTGAATATTTTGAGAGAGCCCGCTCTCCTTGAAACAAAAGAAAAAAAATGGGGTTCGTTGAAGATGCGCGGCAACCGGGATGGCGATGGTGTCAGGTACGGGATATTGCCTTTGGCAGACGCTTCGCACGAACGCCCTACCCTGGCTGTTAGCAACCAACAAGCCGCGGCACACAGCAGCACGGAACACACATCCATAATCGCAGCACGTACACGCACAGCAGTGCGTACCCAGAATCCCGGACAATCGAACAATTCTTACATGCATGTGCTGCCTGCCCCCCACGTGCCTCATGCATATCCGTTGGTTGACGTGTCTTTTTGTTCCAAATCCAAATCCATCAACCACAAGGAACGAACCTGGATGGACTCTCCCTCCTTGACCGTCACAGTGCCGCCAGAGCCGCTGCTGTGGCCGCTGCTGTGGTGCGGCTGCTGCGGCTGCTGGGGCTGCTGGGGCTGCTGGGGCTGCTGCGGCTGGTTGTCTGCGATCTTCTGGAGTCTGATGCGCTCCGCCTCGTCCTTCCTCCTCTGTTCCTCGATCTTGGCCTGCTCGGAGTTCTGGTCCACCTGCGGGTGGCCCTGTCCACCGTGGCCTTGTCCACCGTGGCCGCCCGCGGCGTGGGCGTTCTCACTGTTGTGGTCGACCTCCATGGGGGTGGTGTGGCTGGGGGCGTGCTGCTGCTGTTGCTGGTGCTGTTCCTGGTGCTGTTGCTGTTGCTGCTGCTGTAGCTGTTGCTGCTGCTGCTGCTGCTGCTGGTTGTGCTGCCCGTGGCCCGCCGCCGCCGCCGCTCCGGCTGCAGCCGCTCCCGCTGCGCCAGCACCGGCGGCAGCGCCAGCCCCGTGCTTGCCGTGCTGGGGCCTGCCGTGACCGGGAGCCTCGTGTTCGTCTTCCTCATCCTTGCGGCCGTGCTGGGGCCGGCCGTGCTGGGGCCTGCCGTGGCCTGGAGCCTCGTGCTCCGCTTCGTCGTCCTTGCGGCCGGGGCGGCCGTGCGGGCGGCCAGGCTTCCCTTCCTCCTCCTCGTCGTTTTTGCGGCCAGGGCGGCCATGGGGCCTGCCGTGGCCGGGAGCCTCGTGCTCCTCCTCGTCGTCCTTGCGGCCGGGGCGGCCGTGCGGGCGGCCAGGCTTGCCTTCCTCTTCCTCTTCCTCGTCGTCCTTCTTGCCGCCGGGGCGGCCGTGCGGGCGGCCAGGCCTGCCCTCCTCTTCCTCCTCCTCGTCGTTCTTCTTGCGGCCGGGGCGGCCGTGCGGGCGGCCAGGCCTGCCCTCCTCTTCCTCTTCCTCGTCGTCCTTCTTGCGGCCGGGGCGGCCGTGCGGGCGGCCAGGCTTACCTTCGTCCTCCTCATCGGTGTCAGGGTCGCTGTCCTTCTTGCCAGGGCGGCGGCGGCGTCCGGCCTTCTTCTTGGCCTCCTCCTCCTCTTGTTGCTTCTTCTTCTTCTCCTCCTCAGAGTCCGAGTCCTTTCCGAATCCGAAGACCATGGTTGCTTTGGGGCGGGGGGTGTCGGTTTTGTTTTCGGAGAGAGGGTTGAGAGAGGTGTAAGGTGGATTGTGAGCGGGCGGGGCGGGGAGGGGGCAGCAGCTGCTCCAGCCGCAGCTGGCTGGCTTCTTGGTCTCCCGTCATCTGTCTGCAATGTTGTGCCGCCTTTCTTCATTTTTTCAATTTTGGCGGGAACTTGGCGAATTCCATGTTCAATCCACGTGTCCCTTTCGAGACGCCTGATTGGCTGTTCGATGAAACATGACCAGCGAAACTAAATTCACAGATTTTAACGGCCACTTTATGAATGATTGAATTGTTTGTCATTTTCTTTGTAACCCAAGGAATCCATCTCTATCTAAGAAAAGAGTCTAAGACAGATTAGCAATGAATCCAAAGCGTCCGTGAAGGCTACCTGTGTTTCCATGATTTCGGGGTCTGATTTTTTGGAACTCGGACCAGCCCGCCCTGCCTGTTTGATGGTTTGATGGCCGTTTGATGAGCGGAGCAGCGGGGCTTCAACGGGCTGAGAGCTGAGTCCGTGTTCCTGTACAAACGCTTGTGGTTCGATTGCATCACATACAGGTCTTGTGTTGAGGGATGGAGTGAGCGAGGCACGGGTGTTACGTTGATTGCCAGGTGCAAATATTGCCAGGATGCTCGAAATATTTTGTGTATGTGTTTTCATCTTGCGTGTGGGTGTCGAGATATTAAATTTGTTGTGTTTTTCTTCACATTACTAAACTCGTGTCAGTTGCTCATCCCAAAATCTAGCAAAGACTTGGTCCGTGGTCACTCCCGCGCCGCACATGCCCTCATCATACATCACACACAAAAAATTAAGTTGATGACGAAAATACATAGTCTACATGAGAATCCCTACACTAAAACCTATATTGTGGCGATTTGTAGCCCACAAGAGGATGATCGGCAAAATAAGAACCCTAGCCTCGGCCGAAACTGGAGGTTCTTAAGTGCGGGCGCCATTTGTAACGGCCTCCTCGTGAAAGTATTCAGATACTTCTCGATACACGTGGTCCACTGCTCCTCTGCTGTATGTAGACTAAATATATGTAGATAGTTTACAGCAGCAGCAGCAGTTATTATCCCCCCCTCGGCGATGATGATGACAATAATGAATGAATGATGCTGTGCGAAAGGAGTCTCGTTAACTATGCATAGATCTATCCATACTTCGTATAGTCTTTGTAGAAACTCGACCAACAAGCTCGGCCCGTCCGTGCGCAATTGGCCCGTTCGTTCTTGCTCTTCTTTCGATACAAATTGAAGGAACCCATACACTCTCCCTTCTTCCCCTCGCTCCTCGACAAGCTTTTTTTTGCTTAGACATGGGTTGTAGTGAAGGGGGGGGTCTTTCTGGCGAGCAGGGCTAGACTCACCCTCAAGGGATGACCGAAACCTTCTTGCTGCTGCGCATATCCGCCGCGAGGCATGCGCGTGGTGGTGTAGTTGGGTCGGCACTGATGGGGTCAGGC